GCAGGCCTGTCGAAGCCGGTGCACGTGCGGTACATGCATGCAGTAAGAGTGCTATTCATTAATCAAAGAGTTTATAGGGTGGTGTCTCATTTTATTTTAGCCTTCCCAAAACCAAAAACACAAGAACAGAGGTGTAAGGAAGTGATAAAACAGTGTTTGTCTGCGCTACGCTGCAAATGTTAGCACGTCCAGCTAACTAGCTTACTGGTGACCACTCTGGCTTCCTAGGCAAAGGGCGCCAAATAGGTCTACCCACCCAGCAGATGGAAAAGTCCAACCCACGGTGAAATTTTAAAAAGTAGCCCAATTATGCAGGAAAATGCGGGCCTGGTAACACTGGTACTGCTCTTTATTGGATTTGGGGGAGTTTACGTTACAACAACCCCTGCTAACGTTACCCACGGTAGCGTTACGTTCGCCAGACGCATCCTCAAAACCTTTTGCTTGTGATGTTAAAAGTGAAACAGTTAAGCAGTATTTAAGCTAAGCAGCAAAATGGCATTATGTTAGAATGATATAACAGTTTTTATAACAGTATTTTGTGTTGTGTGTGTGTGTGTGTGTGAGTGTGTGTGTGTGCGTGAGTGTGTGTTTCCCTCGGGTGCTTCGGCTCAGGTGCACTGTGCTGCGGGGCGGTCAGCTCAGAGTCAACCTCGCACACGTACAGCACATCGTCTCAAACACTCTTCCTCTGTAACTAAATAACTCATTACTCTTCACTTATTAACCAATTATGTGCAAAAAAACCAAAAGGAGGTCAGCGGGAGGCCGGGACACCTGAGTCAGACCAGAGAGTCTCTCCTTCTAAGTGCTGCAGCTTTTCCCCCGGAGGGGCCCTGTGTTCGATACACACACAAAGCTGATGGTAGTATATGTGCTACATCTCCCATTAGCTTCCAGTGAAGGGCCGTCTTTCATCTCCTCTTAGAGAGATGAGACTCTCATTCAGTTTGATCCTCCTTCTCCTCCACGGTCTCCCTCTCAGCGCCTCTCTTACAGGAAAACAGGACACGGGCTTCTACAGCAGCAGTGCTTGATAGATATCGCTGCTGTCAGCTGCTGTGTAATCCCCCAGACTGAGACAGAAAAAAAGAGGGGCCTTTCATCCAGCCTGACGTGCTTTCGGGGATGTTTGGGACCCCAAAGAGCCGAGGAACGTGGGTAGGAAAGAGGGGGAATGTTGGACTTTTCCCCCTGGTTATTGTGTTTCAGGCCATGGCGGCTGTTTTGACATTTAACACAACGCTCGGTGCAGTCGGGTGGCGATGTGATGGAGCAGAGTGAGGACAGTGTTGGGCCTCAGGCTCCTCACCATGTCCACCTCTTCTGTCCTGTTACTGCTGCTCACTGACCATGGCGGACACAATTGTTGGATTTACTCACTTAACTGCTTAGAATCTTAATTACTCAAAATATAATGTGAAAATGCCAGTGTGGCAACCCCTTTTTAAAGTTAGTGTTAAGACCTGTATATATCTATATATCTCTAAAATATATTTTATATATATACAAAATCTATATGACATATATAAATCAATTAAGGTGGGCTGACCTTTAAGCAGCAAGGCGCTCAGCTTTTTCCATTTTTAGTTTTTAAATTATTTAATGTGGGTTAATTATTAACAACATTATGTTAATCTTTTTTACAATTTTCCTTGTGGTCATTTTAGGGAAGACTATTATTTTGGTTATTGAGTGTCACACTAGTTTCTTTAGCTGATGTCTGGTGATTTGTTTGACTTTATTGTGTCACCGTTACAAAATCGCGTGTCCGCCCTCTTCTTCTGCCGCTCCCTCTCTCTCTACCACTGCGAACTTGAGTGACTTCTTTAATTAGCAGCATTCATTTTCCTCCTCCTCTCCTTTCTCTGAGGCCGGCTGTGATCAGAAGCCTCCCTGCCGCGCGCTGCATAGCAACAAGCCGTCACGTGACCGCGGCTCCCTGCCTCTCCCGTCCCCTCCAGGGTCGTAGACGCCAACTACAATTTCCTCGGGTTTTTCGTTCATAATAAAGTGCTCCGCTCTTCCCGTGCTGTTAGAAAACTCCACCACACAGATGCATACAGAACAATAAAACGATGAAGCGCTGAACATGCGATGCTTGTTTGGTTTCTGCATCCCTTTCATCTCTTCCGTCAACATCTCTGTGATTTAAGCTCGCCATTATTTCTACCTCCCATACGTTCACCCTCTCACGCTGCAGAGGTAAACACACCCGTCTTCCCCGACCCCGCAGTTTCTGTCCTCCCTCTCCGCCTCCGCCTCTCTCTTTCTTCTCTTTGAAGTGCTCACTTATCCGTCTCCTGTGTTTCCCTCCTCCTCCTGCTCTTATGCCTCAGATCTACTTTCTGCTTGACTTTGCACATCCTGGCTATTTGCGCGGTTTTGATATGAATGGGTTGTTGGGTTTGATCAATATTGAAGCAATGGGCCCCCGCTGTTAGGCAGAGGGAGGAGTGTGAACATGCCCGAAGATTGAAGGCTCCTGTTTGTCTGGCTTTGTCAGAGCCATACTTTACCCTTCCCCCTGTGTCATCTGCTCCCACTGAACAATATTCCCCCGTGTGCTCTGTTTACACCCTCTATGGTGTTTGTGCAGTGTGAATATACATGTGTGTGTGTGTGTGTGTGTGTGTAATGGTGGGAAAAACTGGGTCATGTTTACCTTGCGCCTGTGTGGGTGATGAGTACCGCTGAGAGCGCCTTCAACCTGCATCTCTAATCTTTTGTTTTTCCATTTTTATTTCTCCCTCTCTCTACTGAATTTGCTCTCACCCCACACAAATGTACTTTCCCTTCATCTTGTTTTATGTCAGGATCGAGCTGACACCCCCTATCTCCTCCCTCGACCTCCACACCAGCGTGCTGCGTCCTTTCCCCTCCCCTCTCCTGATCTTGAATGACCATCGAGCGGGAAACTGGCCCCGGGTGTCGCTCTGAAAATTTGGACTCCGTGTGTATCGAGCAAATACGCAGCCAGTTTAGCGCACACACGTTTGTACCTACACACACGTTTGCAGGAGGGAAAATTCAAGGCCAAGCGCTGGGTGTGTTTCTGCGTTTACAGCCAGCCCCCATTGATTTCCTGCAGCGCTTGAGAATCCATTAACCAGGAATAGTCCTGCCCCTCGGTTCGGCTCTCTCTCCGTCTTTCTGCCCCACCGAGGCGACAGGTATCGCTGGGATCAGCTGTTGCAGCGACTGTGTTACAGTGAGATTATTGTCGGCTCCAGACAAAAAGGTTAAAGAACAACGCCGGGATTTAATTGATCCAGTTTGGAAAAGTGTGAAATGCCACAACAGCAGTTTATCGGAACCTGCCTGTTAAAATCCAACCTATTGGCATACGCGATCAATATCAATAAGGCCAGTTAAAGATGGGGTCCATCAGGGCATCCTGTGTGCGGTTAGAATAATGAAAACCGATAGATCAGGTGGCGCTGGCTCTGTTTTGTGAATTTATTGTCATATTGTTAGATGGGAGCAACCGAGAAAGGCCGGCTTAATTGGCTGCTGGTATGACTCCAACAGCCAATTTCACCATATTTGTTTGCTCAGTGCACGATGAAGCTTGGCTAATGCTGCACACGTGTTGATCTTACTTTGGGATCCGGCACCTCGCACCACTTGACAGCGAAGGGGAAACCGGCGAGGCCGAGTTAGAGACCGTGTTAAGAGTACAGAGCTTTTCAGGTTTGTGTCAAGAGCTTTCTTTTTGTTGTTGTTCTTGTTCTTCTTCAGACCAACTTTACTGTCATGTGGACTTCTGACTGCACACACAGTCAATGAGCTATTATGGCCTCTTTGGGGGGGGTTGATTTGTTGTTCCTCGTCACATGACATGCGGTGCAGCGTTACTAAAGTTGAACTGCAGATGGTGGCTTTGTGTGAAAATGTTTGATTTCTTAGATCCCCTGATTGGCTTCGTGCCATCCAGTAAGTAACGATGAACAAAGCCAACGGTGTACATCCATTTTCTTTTCTGCAATAGTTCATTGTGTAATAAAAGTAACATAGCGAGTTTCCTGTGTCTTTTGAAGGTCTTGTGGGATCAGTCGAAGTAGAAAAGGTATTTGTATAAGGAAGTGCATCCTCTGCCTCTCAGTGTCCCGGGCTCTCTGTGTCCCCCCCACCTCAGTCAACTCTTGTCTCTACACTGCAAGTGTCAGTGAAAGTGCGAGTGTGTGTGTGTGTGTGTGTGTGTTAGAGAGTGAGTGTGTGTGTGTGTGTGTGTGTGTTAGAGAGTGAGTGTATCGGTTAATGCGTCCTGCTCACATGTGAACCCACGTCACCACGGCTGAAAGAGACGAGAGAGAGAGGGGGTGGGGGGGGGGAGTCGAAGACGAAGTGGTGCTGTTTGCATTCCGTTTGTTCTCTCCTTTTTGTTCCCAACTGTTTTATTTCCGTTGATGTGCCCCCCCCCCCCTCCCCTCCCCTCCCCTCACTATCTTGGAACCCAAAGCGCATTATGCCGCACGTATTTTGAAAAGCCTTCGCATTAAATTGCACCTGCGTTCTGAGGGAATGAAAAGGGGAGCGCACACAAAAAGCTTCCTCCACTCACTGCATGATGGTGTGTGAGTCGGACACACTAACAGCGTGTCCGGTATGAATGTGTGTGGAGTCCACAGGCAGATCTGAGGTGACTCACTGTTGTACTGACTGCTATTAAGTGTCCAAAACATAATTAATTGAGGCCATTTTTAAAAAACCATCCTCATCCATCCTGTCTTTTCTCCCTCCCTCTGTTAACTTCGCCTCCCTCTCATCTCACTCTGCACTCCCCCCCCCCCCCTCTCATTTCTTAATTTCTTATCTGGGCCGAGCAGAGGCAGACAGGGATGGATGACAGAGGAAATTAAATTCGTCTTATCGCCGTTGTGCTCCATGCAACGAGGCGCCGTGCGCCTCTCCTGCACGCACACTTCGACTCCGTGATTGCAGTGTCCTCCCGTGTTTACATGCGTCTCTCTCTCTCTCTCTCTCTTTTTCCTTCACAGTTGCCGTACAAGCAACAGGAAAAGTCTGATCCTGACCACCACCTCTCCCACGCTGCCTCGCCCACACTCCCCTCTCCCCCTCCCCGGGCACCTCGGTACGTATGGAGGAACAGGTCGCGCCTCAACTGTGACCTTTTCTTCTTCATTCATTGATGAGGACAGGGCAACTTTTTTCATCACTTGGATTCCACAGTATCTATTAAAGAAAGAATAAAAACCAGTTCAAGGATATAACCTGTTTATTTTATGCCGATTAAATAGGATTTTCCTGCCTCGGCTGGACAGCTATTTATTCCACTCTATTATCAGGGTCTATTAAACGGAAATTGGTTAAATTATCATAATCCCATTACGAAAAGACATTTAGTAAAAAATATTTATTTTCTTGCCAGATTCAGAAGATTGATACAAAATACAGAATCCGCCGACCAACACCTCTCATGTCTTGTGTGTGGTTGTTCTCGGATGTTAAATTTGAACTTGAAGGTGTCCGTCTCGATGCACCATTGTAGTCCAAGAGCCCGTTCAACTGGCAATTTGTCTCTGTCAAGATCCAACTCCTTGAAGGTCTTGGATCTATGTTCTTCTGGAATTACCAATAGCACCTCACGACTGTTGCTGATCCACTTGGTGAGATTGAAACCTCCCAATTTGCAGATAGCTGTGAGGTTCTTGCCCATTATAGTCGCATCTTCTTTAGAAGGCAAACATTTCAAAAGATCATCCACATAACTTTTTGTGACCGTGTCAATTACTTCTGCTGGAAATCTGTTTTGATTATCATCAGTAAGGCTGTTTGAATATTCTTTGTGGTAACATTCACCCTTCAGAAGTCTCCTTTTCAGTGAACTGGCACGCTGTTTAGCAACAGTAAAGTTGTTTGGCATGTTTACATGGGGTGTCTTGAAAGGCAACTTAATATTGTAGTGGCCATCTTTAAGTTGTACTGTACCTTTCATTATTTCCATGTACTTTCTTTCTTATATTGACATCTCCTCTTTGTCATTAGAGACATTTTCACTGAAATCTTGATTGTACTGTCTTATCAACAGTTCTTCCAATTTGTCAACACCAATCCGATTAACAGTAACAGCAGGGTAGCTACTCTTACACTGCTTTGTACTGTTTCCATGAAGAGGTCCATTAATCACCCAGCCCAGTAGAGTTCTTACTGCATATGGTCCCTCTCCTCGGCTGTTGATCACTTCCCACGGTTCCATTAACTTTGAGGCGTTTGTGCCAATCAACAAACCAACATCAGCGTTAATACGGGGGAATATGTACGTCTTTCAGGTAAGTCCACTTAGACAACTCTTCTTCAGGAATGATATTGTTTGTCGACACGGGCATTTCCTTCCGAGTAAACATACTAGGATGCTCCAAAAACTGCTCGTCAGCAAATTCAGAGATCTCCAAACCTTTGACAATACAACTTGGAACAGTGGTACTGTGTCCCATTGTACGTAGATTAATCTTCGTCTTTCTTCCTTTGATGCTCAGCCTTTCCATTAGACTTTCAGAACAGAAAGTGTCAGTACTTACTGGATCCAGAAATGCATAAGTTTGTACGATTTTGTTTCCCTTTTTACACTTAACATTGACAGGTAAGATTGAAAGGATGCCGTTACTGCCCCCGGCCCCTGTATGACCACAAGTAGAGACAGCCGTGCCACTCACCGACAGTTCCTTTGGCTGATCTTCGCCTTTGCTTCTTTCCTTTTTCTCAATGTGAAGAATGCTGGGATGACTTTGGTTGCAATCTTTGCAAGATATGCATTTATTGCAATCCTTGCTCATGTGTCCTATGCGCAGGCAACCAAAGCAAACTCTTTTCTCTTTCAGAAATTCCAATTTTTCCCGATGTGTTCTTTTTTGCAATTGTGGACAATGCTCCAATGCGTGTCCATGCATACAATACAAACAGGAAACATTTGAAATTGTAGGTGACATACTTTGTGTTTGAGTCTGAATGCTTTTCTTGCTTGCATTCACAGCTGGTTCAGTAGACATAAAGACAGTGGTTGCAAAGCTGTTTCTTTTGAACTGCGCCTTTTGCTCTAACTTGGCCTTGTTGCCTCCTTTATTTACACCACCTTGAGTGTCTTGAATGTCGCCAAAGATTGGATCCGAAACGATCTTGACTTGGTACTCGATGAACTTGATTATGTCTTTAAAGCCAGATCTGCGACCTTCGGTTTCAGAGATGTCACACGCTGTCACTCTCCATTTCTCTCCGAGCTTGTACGGAAGTTTCTGCATTATTGTTTTCATGTTTGCTGGCATATTGAGTTCATCTAAATATTGCAATTCCTTCATAGCGTTGCAACACTCTCGTAAACACAATGCATATGCCTGTAGCCCTTTAGCATCCTCTGCCTTAACAGCAGGCCATCCAATGATTTTATCCACGTAGGCAGCTGTGACCTTTATTTCATTTCCACAATGTTTTCCAAGAAGGTCTTTGGCCATAGCATAGCCTGTCTCTGGAGTCATGTGCTGGCAGCTACGCACCAGATCTCTAGGCTGCCCCCTAGTGAATTGCTCAAGATAATACAAACAATCTCCTCTGTTGTTTGTTTTAGCTTCCACACAATGTTCAAATGCTCTGATGAATGATCTAAATTTCAGCAGATCTCCGTCGAAAATAGGTATTTCTCTGCGTGGTAGAAACTGAGAGTTCTGTGTCTGTATAAGGAGTGCTGTTACTTCATTTTGTCTTTGTAACAGACTGTAGAGATCTCCAGTTACTTGAGGATTGCCTTGGGATTGTGTTGCTTGTTGACCACCAGGATTTATATCTGATTGATGTGATTTATTTTGCTCAGAAGTTTGCCACTTGAAGCTTGTCTGCATAGTCGCACTTTTAATTTCATATTTGTCTGCGTCCATTAGTTTTTCCACTGTTGCCTTAGGGTTGGCAGACCATGAATATTTCTGCCGAGGTGATTCTTTTTGCTGTGGGTTGTATTGTTCAGCATGAGGATTGAGTTTTGCTCCTTTTTGAAATAGGATTCCATTCCATCCGAATGTGCATTTGAAACACTGCCATGACACGAGGCATTCAATACTGCTAGTTTTGCTGTAGTTGCTGCTATCTCAGTGTCCATTTCGTGTTGCTCCTTTGTCCTCCTCAGCTGTTCCGCTTGTTCCTCCAAGACATGCCTTTTCTGTAGCGCTGCAGCACGTGCCATGAGTGCAGCCTTTTCTGCCTCTGTTTGACGCCGTGCAGATGATGTAGACTTGCTGCCTTTTGAGACATTACTTTTTCGACCTGAGCCCTTGTTGGAAGCATTTGATACAACATTTGAAATGCTGTCCTGAGGCTTCACATTATCCCCCCCATTATGAAGATCGCTACCTTCACTATTGAGGTGACTTTCATTGCAAAACAACCATTTGTTTACATCAGCAATAAAGTCATTGACACTCAGCATTTTTAGTTTATACCACATTTCATGTTCATCCACCTCTTCTTCAGGTAACAACCCCATCAACGTTTCATGTATTTCTTTTGCTTCACCACAGAGAACATTATATTTTTCAAATGTACCTTTTACCTCTATAACATAACCTTTATCACCCATCAAATCAACAAGTATCTCTTTGAGATTGTGTGCTCTTTGGAATTTCCCCTCTCTTTGTTTTTGCAAGTTGACACTTTTTTCCATAAGAGCTTTTTCTGTCAACTTAACAGTCCGCTTTTTTACAGTGTATTCCATATCACCAGATTCAACCCGCGGCTCTGTCTCAGTTAAGAGTTCAGAACCGGCGGCGTGATCTTCTTCCATTGTCAGTTACGCACATTCAGTTCGGTGAATACGCGCTCAGTTCATTTATACTGTTACCACCAATGCATTGGATTTTACGCGCAAAGTCAAGTGTGCACACAATTACAACGATGGCCATCCCTTTGTTGGAGGTAGCGATAGACATACCTTGGCGTTGAACGGCATACAGTTGTTCTTACGTTCTTTTTCCTCCGTGAGACAACAGCAGCTCCAACCTGCTCCTGTGCGCTTCAAACAGCTCCGGTGCGCTCTTCCACCTCCGCCGCTTCACAGACTGCCTCCGGCGGTCCAACAGCTCCGGTCCAGTCCAACTGGCTCCGCCGCTTCACCAACTGCCTCTGGCGCTTCAACAGCTCCAACCAGCTCCGGTGGCCTCACCGCCCAGCTCCGGCGCTCCTTCAGCTCCAGTCCAAAGGACGAGATGATCAGCAGCCTCCAGCAGCTGGTCCCGGAACGTAGTCAAACGCCAGCAGAGCTCTTCCACGCTGTCCTCAATGAAGCAGTTTTTGACTTATTGTAGTGACCGTTGCTTCCCAATAAAAAAGTCACTACGGTTGCTGTAATGCTTGTTCTGACGCGTGCCATAAATAACAAAGTCCAGTTTCAAATATAGGCATTTTATTCCTCACATAATCAGAGTACACCACTTTCTCTTCAGTGCCATTTTCTCCTCAATGCCAATAAATCATAACATTTGCATTTGTTAAAACTTCACGGTCAAAAACTGTTTGCTTCTACCTATTAGCAACAACCTGTGTCCAATGACCCCACTGATTATATTACCTGTGGCCTGACTCACACCGGCACTACGCCCCCATGTGGTGGGAGGTTGTACAAAACAAAAACAACAAAATGGCTCTTACAATAGGCCTTTATGGTTTGGAAAAAAAAATCTAAATCAATTTCACACCCTTTTACCCCCGAAAAGCCGACCCAATGTTAGTCACACTGTCGTATTGAGCCACAGAATCAGAGGCGCTTCACAGGAAAGCTGAGGACAGCGTGGTAAGATGCTTTAAAGGGTGCTTTCCTGTGGTCATCTGGTCACAGAATAACTTGACTCTTTGTAACATCTCCTTTTACCACGCATATTCTCTCCCCCATTGCGTCTCAACCTGTGTGCATGTCTTGTTGTCCCAACAGGAAGCAGCCCCCTGGACAGCCCGCGAAACTTCTCTCCCAGCAACCCGGCGCACTTCTCCTTCGCCCTCTCCAGAAGGTCGCTGCATATGTTGATTCCAATGTCCAATTGTTTTTGAGCCGAAATGGTGTGAGAGGGACAGAAAGGGTTAGGACGAGTGAGCGTCAGAGGAGAGAGGAGGTTGGGGATCTGTTGCGGTGCGAGGTCTCGCGCATTCCCGGGGAGCGGCTCCCGCTGCACTCGCGGGTTCTCGCGGTGTAACGGGCTGATTCATGTATGACGGGGCCAAACCATTATATTCACAGTGTTTATTCAAGCTGCTCTGGTGACACATGGTCGGTGTGTGTAGACGGGTGGCCGTGAATCTGTTTGTATGAATGTGTTTTTACCAGAGTTTATAGTAGAACAAAACAATGCCTCCGTGCACAAAGCCAGGTCCATAAAGAAATGGGTTTTTTTGTTCCCAGTTTAGTGTGGAGGAACTTGACTGGCCTACACAGAGCCCTGACCTCAGCCCCATCCAACACCTTTGGGTTGAACTGTTACAAGCCAGGACTCATGTGGGCGACCCTCGCTAATGCTCTTGTAGCTTTTCCGAAGCCGTTAAAGCATAAAGAAGCCAAAGTGACTGCAGTAGTGCAAAAATAATGTGTTCTATAGGCAGAGATGTATGAGAAGAGGCCCAATTTAGACCTCTCTCTCTCTCTCTCTCTCTCTCTCTCTCGCTCAGACAGTGTTGGGAGTATAAATCCTCTGTCCTCATTTATCAGATCCGTCTGCGTGCCTGTCACTGTGCGACCAAGGCACACAGAAGCAAAATGAATGGGTCTTCTCACTGAGAAAGGCCCCTGGGACAAACTAGTGATAGAAGTCATTGGTCTAATGAATACAATTTTTTCAGTGTAGCTGAAATTGAGATGACCACATAATATGGGGAGAAAAAGTGATCAGGGTTATGTCTACAGTCAGTTGTATTAATTCACAACAATGCCAACAATAATATTTTTAGACAGTTAACACAAGACAGCCGAGCTAATGTGGATCTGGGTTTCATGACAAAGTGTACGCGCCAGGTTTTTAACTGACGTTACATTTGTGTTCTCTGCAGAGATGGACGACGATGGTCTTTAGCGTCGTTGCCTTCTTCTGGATATGGCACCAACACTCCCAGCTCAACGGTAAGTAACTTCACCCCCTTCCCGTCAAATAAAAACTAGGTACCCCTAGTTGATTCCCAACTAGGGGTACTTCCATGTCTGAAAAGTGAAGCCGATGCGGAAGTGCCTTAAACTTACATTCTTTCTAATGGCCAGCAGGGGGCGACTCCTCTGATTGCAGAAAGAAGTCTGATTGTATAGAAGTCTATGAGAAAATGACTCTACTTCTCTCTTGATTTATTACCTCAGTAAACATTGTAAACATGAGTTTATGTCTCAATCTCTAGTTTCAAGTCTTCTTCAATACAGCATGATGTTCATTTAGTACATTATGGTCCATTTAGAGTCAAATAGATTCAACCAACAACTAAACCCAATTAGCCTGGCCTCAACAGAGAAATATAAATGTTTATTTGATTGAAAAAAATATATATATTATGCTGATCTTTATCACATTAATCTAAGTCAGTTGAGACGACATGGAAACTAGAAAAGCAGTTTTACGTCAGATATAAAAGGTTTGGGCTCCACGGGGATAAATTACTGTAATCAACACAGATGTGATCTCTGGAGTCTCCTTTTGCATCATCTGTCAGATTCTCATCAATGCCAAGACTTCATTATCATTGTCATTAAGGCATTGCTGTTTAAAGCAAGCTTCATCATCAGTCTTCAGATCTTTCACTTAAAACACTCACACAACACACTGAAACGTGATCCATCTCCAGTATCACCTATTTTTCTCCCCCTTGTGTCTTTTGGTGTGTCTTGTTGCATAACCGCTACGTCAGAGGCCCGGTTCCTGCTCTCCATCTGGCTGTAGACGGGGGTGGGTGGGTGGGGGGGGGGGGGGGGGGTGATGAGTGCCAAGCCGGTGGGATAAGACGGAGAAACCGGCATGAGATGGAGCACATTCTGCTCCAATTTGAACACAGCCAGACACTATAATTAGAAGTAAAAGGATATTTTATTGAATTAATACTTGACTTGTATAAATGAGACTGAATTGTGGTGCACAGTGCTAGCGTCAGCTCTGTCTGCTCCTCAGTTCCCTGATCCATTAAAAGATATAATCCCAAACATTTCCACACAAAAGATTTCATCACTGAATGATATCGTGGTTTCATGAATTGCGTTCTTGCCAACAGTTATATGAGGAGATTGACACCGCTCTCACGTTCGTACCGTAAATAGGAATCTACTGCCAGCAACCAGTTAGCTTACTTAGCACAAATACTGGAAACAAGGGGGGAAACAGCTAGCCTGGAACGTAACTCCCCATAAACTCCCCGCTTACCGAGACAATGGTTCAGAGAAATGGATGGGTGGAGCGACCTCAACGCAATCAGTAGGACATGCATGAAAAACCCAAAGGGAAATTGAGCCTCCACTCTTGTTTCATCCACCCTGTCACATCTGTCACCTGTGATTGATCGGGGATCGATCTTTCGATTAGCAAAGTAAGTGGACGAGGTCCAGGTCTCATGCCTCTGATGAAGGCAAATGTCGGGGCGAGACGAAGGTTAGTCTGTGAGACAGATTGATCGGTCTGGCCCAAGGCTCATTGGACGCCTTCATTCACTTTTAAAATCTCAGTTTGTCATCGGCGGTGTCCACAAGGTCTGAAAATATTGTAATAATGTATCTATTAGTAGGCAGAATATTAAGAGGGGCTGTTCGTCCACCTCCACCCTCACTAATATTCCCTTTTCTTGTCCTCATCTGCCAACCTCTCCCTCTGCTTCCTCTGCTTCCCCTCCTCTCCCCGCTCTTGTCTGCTTCCTCTTCCTCCTCCACCCCTTTGCTCCTGCCTCCCCTCCTCTTCCTCTTCCTCTTCCCCCGCTCTCCAGTCCTCCAGCTCCTCTCAGGAGCGGCTGCACCAGCTGCCCTTCCAGCCCACCATGGATGAGCTCCACTTCTTATCCAAGCACTTTGGCAGCACCGAGAGCATCACGGATGATGATGGGGGCCACTGCTCTGCCCACATGCGCCCGCGCTCCCGCAGCCTCAGGTCAGCACCACCACCACCACCACCACCCATAAGATTAAAACAGTGACAAGAGCTGCCCAAAAGCACTATCCTCTTTTTTAAAAGGACTCTCTATAAGCAGATTTACAGGGGTTGCCCCTCCTTGATCTCCTTATTGCTTTTATATAACCTCCTGAATGTTCCTGGTTTAAAGCTAACATGTCGTGAAATGAACCAATGAATAGAGAAAGTTAGTGCTGTGTGTATATCAAGACAAGGTCACAACTAACTTAATGCCACAGCCTTCTTGGTTTATGACCAGCAACGTATGGTAGCTAATGTTAGCCAATGTTAGCAAACTTCAGCTGGATGCTGCTTTGTGAGACTATTTTAAAGAAGAGATAACACATTCTTCTTCAAAACAAAAATGTTGAATTTATCATTAAAACCAGTAGCTTATGTGGGCTAATGTTAGCTAATGTTAGCAAACTATAAATTATAGATGTTGCACTATAACGGACATTCTGCTGCCTTTTGTTGTACCTCTGTTACACTGAGTTTTATTAGCATTTTCAGTTCAGCAAGTAGTAAACAGTTCAATTACCTCACTTAAAGCGAGCCTAAGTTACAATTGCAGAGGGGAAAAAGTCAGCTAACATTAGCTACAATAAGCTACCCTGTACCAAACCAGGAAGGCTGCAGCAGAAAAAGCCAGTGAATTGAACTGAGCATTTTAATCCCTTTGTCTTCCATTTCTAAGAGGGTAAATGTGGTATTTTTACTTATAGTCTCACTTTAATGTTGTACTTGTCCAGAAATACATGAACTACTAACTACTTTGTCTTTTTATTGGTTCATTTTGAGTGCTAATCTAATCTTAAGCACGGTTCAGATGTGTTCCTTATTACAGAAAAACACATTTTAACCATTTTTCTTTTGCCAAATGTTTTGAACTATATTCCATGTTTTTCTGCCCTCCCCAGCCCAGGACGCTCCTCCTCCTGCTATGATAATGAGATCGTCATGATGAACCATGTGTACAAAGACCGCTTTCCGAAGGTGAGACGTACACACGCACACACACACACACACACACACACACACACAAATCTGCTTTGTGATAAACGTCATATTCCATAAAAATATACAAAACAGTGAGCAAATCCTTAAGCCGACTGAGCATTAAACCAATTTTTCAAGCCACAATAACGTTCTAATCCTATTTAGTCAGAGCTCATATTTTAGAGAAATAACAAGGGGTATAATTTATGATTTAGCATGTTCAGAGATCCGTGGATAACAAATGCACAGTAAACACAAAAAAATGAAATAAAATAAAAACAGGAGCCATGGAGGTCGTTAAACCATAGCAAACAAGATTATGTGGCACTGCCAATACGCGATACGTTTACCCTGTCAGAGAGAATATTTAGTTTAGTGCACTTAGAAATGCTGCCACAGCCATGAACAGTTAAACAAAAGAGACTTTCTCTTTTGCCTCATTGTTCTTCCTTTCACACTCTCGGCTGACTGAGGTCGGTATCAAAAGGAAGCGGGCTGACAGCTTCCACAGAGATAAAGATCCAGCCTTAGGAAATTGGGCAGTAATGTTTGGAGTTCATTCGAGGTAAAAGCTCTTTGGGCTTTTCCTCACACAAGTCAAATGGAAAAAAAAATTGCCCTTGCATTGAAGTCAGTGTAAAGCATCAGCGCCACACTGTCTGAGGCACAAATTATATTGCTTTCTGAACGTTCCAGTCACAAAGCTCTGGGTCTTCTAAAGAAATATTTTTTTTAACTTAATCCCTGCCGCTTCTACTCCCGCTCCCCATCCTCACCGTCTCTCTTTCTCTGTTGCTCCTGTTCTCTCGTGCTCCCCGCCTTTCGGGATATCCACCAGGCCACAGCACAGATGGAGGGGAGGCTGGCTGAATTCATCCAGGCTTTCTCTCCGGAAAATGTTCTTCCACTGGCTGATGGAGTCCTCAGCTTCATTCACCACCAGATAGCTGAGCTGTCCAGAGACTGCCTGGCCAAATCCCGCGAGGGCCTCATCACCTCTGTGTACTTCTTTGAGCTGCAGGAGAACCTGGAGAAGCTTCTACAGGATGTGAGTTACAGAAAAGATACAATGCCGACGAACTCATGTAAAAGCAAGTAAGCACTAATGAGTTCATTTGCATCAGACCTGGGTATCAAACCGCAATATCTTTTGAGTGACAGTAACAAAATTATAGTTTTTAAGAGAGAAAAAATCTATATCTGCACTTCTCATTAACGTTTTGATACAAACAATGGGAAACCTGACAGTTGAATTCTGCGTTTCAGCTCTATGGCGCGTTTTAGCATCTTTTAGCTCATTATTTCCGTTTCACAGCCTGCATCGTTAACTGTTTTGGTTCAGTCTCACGGCTCTCATGAATTATATTTTCAGCAGCAGCCGTTTGTCTCGAAATATCTTTAAAAACCCACCGAACGCTACCTGCACTGCACCAAACTGAAGACAGACAAAGTGAGCGCCTAGCTAGGGAACGTAGCGGAGCATCGAGCTAAAGCTAAAGAGCCAGATATTTCCCACAGCAGTGCTTGGTAATGTCCAAAAACAAAGTCAAAAGGAGCGTGAATATCGACCTCACATTCATCACATGAACACAAACATGATTCTAAATGAACACTAGCGTTGCTTTGTGTCTGTAGGATGTGTAAACAAGCACTTGCTAACACGTTTGCCATCAGTGTCCGTGTTTAGAGCTTGTTGTGGTCATAAAATGAATCATTTAAGATTTACATAAAATAATTGTCACCAATTTTAACATTTGAGAACATTGGTTTCTTCTGTTCGAAAATATTTGTCACGGTAGAATAACAAAAAATATTAACATATCATTTTAGTAATGGTACAAAAACTCAGGTATCATACTACACTAGCATTGAGAAGCTTCAGATGATACCGCTGGGCAAATTAAAGCAAAACAGACCCAGAAACAAATATATCTTTCTGAATGAGTGATGCAATCTGATGCCGTGGAAGGTTATTGATGGATAGAGTCGGCTCAAGTCTTCTAATTTCATTCAAATCTGTGATGCCTTTGAGACGAGACGAGATTGGAATTGCTGCGATAAATGCAGGCTAATTGTGCTCAGAGCAGATAACAGGTATCAGGCAATTTCATCGCCGACCTCATTTTGGCGGCTTGATTGGAATGCTGTGATTCTTCTGGGTTGACTGGTTTTGGCTCGATAGTATCGGCTGTTTTTTCACGATGAGATATTCTCAACGGTGTCAGACTTTGCAAATGTTAATGTAAATCTTCTCTCTCTCCGACAGGCCTTCGAGCGTTCGGAAAGCACCGAGGTGGCCTTCATCACGGAGCTGGCGAAGAAGCTTCTCATCGTCATCTCCCGACCGGCCAGGCTTCTGGAGTGTCTGGTAAGATAACGTCCCGTCCCGGCTGCCACGTTCACAATCCTCATCCTGCCCATTTCCACGGTTCACGTCCCTCTTGTGACTTAACACAAATTGATTTTCTCTAGATAAACATGGGCACAGACACTTGTTTGTTTGCCGATTAAAAAAGCATTTAAGCACTCTGATGTACCACACAGCGGGGGCAGAAAATCAAACTTAAAGAGCCCGGTCCAGTCCGTCTGGATGGCGAATGCATTTGCATTTAGATTAGAATTTGTCTCGCCACAGTACGACTAATACCAGTCGGCGGCCCCCTGCTGCCGGACCGCCTTCCCGTCTGACTCAGACCGTGACCATGGTGTCACTTAAAGTTGGAGGATGTCTATGTGTGTGTTTGTCTGGTTGTTTCTCTGGTGTGTGTGTGTGTGTGGTTTTATAACCGTCTTTGCGTCCCACTCGATGAGTCATGCCACAGTTTTTCCTCATAGTATTTGATTACGAGTGACAGCAGATACCGAGACATGGAGAATTGATACGTCGATGTAATTTCCAAACCTCGTTTTCTGCATTTCGCTGCAGTCGGATTACAGTCCGCGTGAACCATTGCATGTTTTTGAAATAGTATCCAGGTTTTTGGATCAGCAGCCAGGAGTTTCCCGGAGTGGTGCAATGGATGAAACACTGCAATCCAACATGTCAGCATGCGATGGAACCTTTTCAGCTCGACAATATTTGTGGTTATTATCACACTAACAACGATTTCATTTGAGCAATTCTCATTCAGTTTTTATACTAACAAGCGGAATGGAGACAAAATAACCAGTCAGAAATGTTCCCAACTCTCCAGATGCCTGAAATTGTGGCAGAATGTGACACTATCAGGTTGAGGAAGTGTGTCAGCAAACCTAAAGTCACTGTGAAATGGAAGTTAGGGTGTCTTCATTTACTGTACTGTGACTTATTTTCCAGTGGAATGGAATGTGTGGGCATGGTAGAGTTACAAGAGGATTGAAATCAATTTCTTCAGCTTTGGTTCGATCACTTAAAGGTGGGCAAAGAGGACACATTTGTAAAACTGACGGAGAGATGTTATCAGTGTGAATAATAGCGAGCACACAATGTGCAAAAGTCGTTTTCTGTGCCTAAAATGTCTCATCACAGGCTCGTAATTATACCTAGTTTCTGTATTTCTACCATTTAGCTGCTGGTCTGCACTGGCCTAATGATCTGGGCTGATTGGAATGAACGGTGTCTGATTAAACAGAACATACAGCTTGTAAAGTGTAGCTTTCAATGGGAAAGCAGTCCTAAAACAGAATACAAGTCTCGGCCGAGGCTGAACAGACTGCAGTGATGGTGTCTTCCAGAAACAGGTCTTGGACCTGCTCCAGAGGCAGTGAATCATCAAACAACTGCTAAAAGCAGCCACGGCGGCTTTACTGGGATATGGAAACATTTTTCTGATTTACATTTAAACCAGTTTATCCGGAAGCAATTTAATGGAGCAGCTCTAAAACAAATAAATTTAAAAAAACGTTCCACCTGATGACATCACGTTGACGTCTTCATGCTCTGGTTTCCAGGAGTTTAATCCCGAGGAGTTCTACCATCTGCTGGAGGCGGCGGAGGACCACGCCAAGGAGGGTCACTTGATGAAGACGGACATTCCTCGTTACATCATCAGCCAGCTGGGACTGACCAGAGACCCTATAGAAGGTGAGGGGGAGAGACAGAAATGCACACATGTAACTTATCAGAAAAATAAATGAGCTGACAACTGGTTTATATGTTTCTCATCAGATATGGTAAACCTCGATAGTTACGACAGCGAGGGGCCGCTGACGCCCGAAACAGATGACTCGACGGAGGTGAGATCCGAGATTGATCCTAAATGTGGTCGTTTCTCCAACGCTCATTCCGTCCCCACATCCATCAGCCTTTTTTTCTGCCTCCGCGCCGACGACAGCGGTTCCATTCTCGTTAACACGTCATATCTCAAATTTGGCAGAAAATGTCCACTTGGACTCAAGGATGTACTGAATCCATGACCTATTGACCTCACAAAACACGTTTCTGGCCATAACTCAAGAATTCAAATGTTAATTATGACAATGTTCACATACATGTCGAATAGGATAAAATAACAAAGGGATGACATGTTGGACAGACATGTAAACTGTAACTTGACTGGTTGGTGGAGGCAGGCGTACAACCGCAAGGAGGTTATTCTAGTTTATTTTGACTTTTCACAGAAAATGTCTGCTTCATCTGCTAATGACTTGGCGTATATACACACATCTAATTTAGCAAATTTATGCTGAAGCATAAAAAACAGCCCCCCCACCTCTCTCCTTAAATCTGTGGGCCATCCCTCATGCATTAGGCACGCCTCCAACTGCCAAATTTAAGCTAAGTAGGCAAAAAAAAGATTAGACGAGAGGAAGGGGCGTATAGTCCGAACCAGAGTTCTCTGTACAGATGGTTTAAATGTGCGTCACTAAAGTTACGGTGCCAAAAGAATGTGATTTTCTTGACGATGAGACAACATGAATGATTTATGTCATTTGGCGGTTTTGTTCGATTTCATGCTGGATCATTTTTAATATCAGCATTGTGATCTTTGATCCACAGGGTAAGATTAGAGCGATGAAAGCACCAGAAGAAGTAGACTTCCAGACCATCAAGCTGATCAGTAATGGAGCGTACGGGTGAGTAGAGTAGAGCGTTAGGGCGTACTTACATTACATCTGTAAGTCAGGCATGCGGGACAAGAATAACATGTGCCTCTGTGGGTGGTGGTGGTGTGTGTGCACTAGTGCTGTGTACCTGGTGCGTCATCTGGAGACCCGCCAGCGGTTTGCCATGAAGAAGATCAATAAGCAAAACCTGATCCTGAGGAACCAAATCCAGCAGGCCTTCGTGGAGAGAGACATCCTGACCTTCGCAGAGAATCCCTTTGTCGTCTCCATGTTCTGTTCCTTTGAATCCCGCCGGCACCTCTGCATGGTCATGGAGTACGTAGAGGGTAAGTATATATCTGTGGGGGTGTGTGTGGGGGTGTGTGTGTCTCAACTGGTGGGAAAAAATAATTTGGTTCTGCCCACATCAACACCGCCAGTTATTTAATGTTTTATTATGTTATGTTATGTTGAGTTATGTTCCTTGTCAAGATATTACCATTTCAACTTCAATGCATTTAGATTTTGAATAAGTATAAGTGAGGATGTGTCCCACATTCACTCTTCACACTTATTCTAAGCAAGTTTTGAGTACGTAGTGTGCTCTCACTGGGAAAAAAAAGTAAAAATTCTCAACTGCTCAAACTAGATGGTAGGCGTACTAAATATGGTTGTTTTTTTTCCCACAATGCAATGGGGGAGAGGAAATGGAGGCGCTGCCCCCAGCTGGAGAAAACAAAATCGAATCAATTGTTTGTGGTGATCAAAAAGCTCCCAAAAGAAAAAAAATAGCATTACATTTGAAGACATGTTGCAATCCCAATTCTGGAAGCTTTAAACGGTCTAGGAGACGTGGGAGAGACTAATGGAATAATGAACTGTGCTGGTGCAGGTGGAGACTGTGCCACTCTGCTGAAGAACATCGGGGCTCTGCCCGTGGAGATGGCGCGCATGTACTTTGCAGAGACCGTCCTCGCGCTGGAGTACTTGCACAACTACGGCATCGTGCACCGTGACCTCAAGCCCGACAAGTAAGAGATTGAAAAGAGATGATGCAAATTGTGACGATGCCTGACTAGAACACTTGCTATTTCTTTTTTTTTTTCCTATTCCAAAAGAGCGTAAATAAAGCTTGTATGTGTTCACTTTGCTGTTTTTATACTCTCAGCCTCCTGATTACCTCAATGGGCCACATCAAGCTCACGGACTTCGGCCTGTCTAAGATGGGTCTGATGAGTCTGACCACCAACTTGTATGAGGGACACATAGAGCAGGACACTCGGGAGTTCTTGGATAAACAGGTAAGACAACATACAAATGACTCAGTCCATTCGAAATAACTCAAGGAGCCAAATGTCACATGGACAATTTATTAAAGTCATTTTGATTTACCTGCACTTTTGATTAAATGTGTTAAAATAATCGCACACATGCAATGTAGCTGTAAACTGTCTTTTTTGGCTGTACTGCAGTGCAGACTCTCCAGAGTAAAGTTTAAATATAAAACGTCCTTTGATGTCTTCATCTCTATGCAAAGATATTCCCCCGTCATTGTGTGCCAGGCATATCTGAAGCGTGAAGAAGAACAGTTGGCAGAACAATAGGCCAGTTTTACCTCATTAGAATCAAATTCTTTTTATTTTCTCGAAGCGCACGCTTTGAAACTAAGCCTCGTCATTTTGTTTCCCCCGCAAACGCATTTACGGCGGCCAGAAATCCGTTAGCATTCAGTGCATACCCATCTGCACATGAACACCCCTCGCTGGGGGCTTTCATCTCGTCTCAGCATCTCTGAAGAGGTCTTCTTAGCCTGGCAGGAATATGCATGCTCCATAAACATGTGCAACCATATGTTATGCACAGGTAGTGTAGAAAAAAATGTAGAAAATATATCATTATGACAAGCTGGTTTAGAATAATCTGAGTAGATTTCTATTTCAGATCAACCATCAAAGTATAATTATGTGACGTTAAATTAGATGTTACAATACATGTTAGTGCTTATCGGTAGCAAAAATGCACAAACCTGTAGAATCTAACACACAAGAAATCAAGAAATCAATTTTTCCTTCAGGTGTGCGGAACTCCGGAGTACATCGCCCCGGAGGTGATTCTCCGTCAGGGTTACGGGAAGCCAGTGGACTGGTGGGCTATGGGCATCATCCTGTACGAGTTCCTGGTGGGCTGTGTGCCTTTCTTTGGAGACACCCCAGAGGAGCTGTTCGGCCAGGTCATCACAGGTGAAGGGATCAGAGGTCTGAAGTTGAATGAGCGTTATTCTACACACTTTTCCTCACGTGTTTCCTCATGTCCTCCTCTCTCTCTCTCTCTCTCTCTCTCTCTCTCCCTCCTTTCTGCTGTAGACGACATAGTGTGGCCAGAAGGGGATGAGGCTCTCCCTATCGACGCCCAGCACCTGATCTCCTCCTTTCTGCAGACCAATCCATTGGTTCGACTGGGCACAGGTCAGTCACCTAGTGGTTCCCAGCCCCTATTTTATTCCTGGACTCTATAAGTATCAGAATCTATTTTGGCCGAAACCATTGGTCCTTATTTATTTTTAGAGGTAAATTCTACGGTGTGGATACGTTTTGTACTACTACCGCTTTGAGGGGAAGAAGCTGGAAGTTACATCTATCTATTATTAACTATGTTTATCATCTATTTATTATTTTAAACTAAATATATCAACCATTTATCCACTATTTTAAGATGATTTTTCAACCATTTATTCATTTTTATTAGCTAACTTTTTCAACCATTTATTCAGTATTTTAAGCTAATCATTTTAACCGTTTATTCATTAGCTAACTATATCAACCATTTATCCATTACTTGTAGCTAACTGTCTCCATCTCAAAAGTGGTGCTCTGGTGTCACAGTTGACTCAATCTGTGGCTTTTTTTTTTTTTTATTAAATCATAATTTCATAGTCTCCGTAGTCTCTCCACGTACCCCCTGGGGTCACGTTAAATGTACCCTTGGTTGGGAATCACTGACCTAGAACACTAACGTCCTGCCTGTAGGCTCACCAGTTCAGTTTACCCAAATAAGTCAACTTCTGTCTGGGTCAAAGTGCCTCTGCTCGCTTCAGGGGCCGCAGTTCTTACCTGTCTGTCTTTGTCTCCCCCTCCCCCCCTCCCATCCTCTGCCTTCTAGGTGGTGCTTTTGAAGTGAGGCAGCACTCCTTCTTCACAGAAGTGAACTGGAACAGCCTGCTGAGACAGAAGGCAGAGTTCATCCCTCACCTAGAGTCTGAGGAAGACACCAGTTATTTTGACAGTAAGTCTCCTGCTTGGGATTCCACGATAGCTACGGTAAATGTAGAAGAGTTTGCAGCTTATCGTGTTAATCTCTGCCTGTTCGTCACCAGCCCGTTCTGAACGCTACCATCACGTGCAGTCATACGATGAGGACGATACCAACGACGACGAGCCCGTGGAGATACATCGCTTCTCGTCCTGCTCCCCTCGCTTCAGCAAGGTCAGACCGGGCATTCACCTCAAAACATTTATTTATCTACATAGAGAATGTTCGAAGTGTTCAAAATGACAATCGGTCCACAGAACAAAACAATGTCAAACCGTCTGTTTGTTGTGTGGGCCTGCAGGTGTACAGCAGTATGGAGCATCTGTCCCAGCTGGAGCATAAAACCCCTGGCGTGACCCTGCGGGAGCACAAGGTCCCCAGGGAGGATCGAGTGGCCAAGAGAGAAAGCCTGGGTAGCCTCACCCTAAGGGACAAGAGCTGGAGGACTGGATCGCCTGAGATGTGAGCGCAAAAAATAGTGAAGAATGACATGTTTGCTGTGTTTCTTTGTCATTTCTTTTGTCCATCTAGCCACTTTGAGATGGCATGAGAATGACTTCATACCAAAGTCTGACTGCTTTGCTTTTCTCAGGAAGCGCTTATCCTGCTCCGAGTCCTCCTTCACCGAGAGCGACTACAGCCCACCGTCCGGGGCCCGGAGACGCTTCTCCGCCCTCATGGACACGCACCGCCTGGCCTCCCCTCTGGAAGTGGACTCTGAACTGCCTGTCCCCAGCAGGCAGCCTCCGATGACGACCAGAGGGGCTTCCCTGGAAGGAGCCATGGGTGCCATCGCCTCTCAAGGCGATCTGAGAACACTCATCAAAGACGGCAACGGACTCACAGCCGGAGGTAAGAAACTAAGGATGAGAAAGCACAATGTCACTTTGTGGCCCCTAAACTGTTTCATCACAATTTATAACGAGAGCTTCCTGTCGCTACCATGCCACAGAGAAGATTTTGAGACCCGCTGATGCGCCGTTGCCTCTACCGGGCAGTGCCTCTGTTCTGGGGCTTATGGACTCACAGGGGCCCCGTGGGGCCGCCACGGACCTGGTGCTGCGGAGGGTCCGCCACCAGCAGCTCTCAGCTGAAGGGGAGAAACGTAACCCACGACCAGGGACCAAAGTTATCAAATCCGCTTCCGCTACGGCTTTGTCTGTCATCATTCCTGCAGGTAAACGCACCGGTTATATGACATCAGCGAACGACCTGTAAAAAAAATGTATTTAAACCTGAACTCCATCCCTCTCTCCTCAGTGGAGCAACATGTCGCCTCCCCGCTGGCGAGCCCCATGTCTCCTCGCTCCCTCTCGTCCAACCCGTCCTCCCGGGACTCTTCTCCCAGCAGAGACTACTCCCCCGTGGTCAACGTCCTGCATTCTCCAATCACCATCCACCGGTCGGGGAAGAAGTACGGCTTCACTCTCCGAGCCATCAGAGTCTACATGGGAGACAGTGACGTTTACAGCCTGCATCACATGGTCTGGGTGAGAGAGCAGAGCAGATAATCCAACTTTCTTTCCGAAGCATATTTCATACACGCAATACAGCTCCAAGTACTTCACATTAAATTGTATAAAACAAACTAAAGGGTGCTTTATCAAGATTTTGAAAATGGGTCTCAAGATGTTTTTTAAAGGAATTCACAAAGAGTTGTCTAATAGTTACAGCAGGCTGTTCCATAGTTTTATGGGGGCCCCCCATATTTATACATTTCTTTGCATTAAAAAGAGCAAGTTATGGTCTCACATTGCCAGCATGCTAACTGAAAGTTTGGTTAGATGATACCTATCGTTTCCTAAGACATAGCTATGAACTTTTGAGATAATGTGTCTGAGTGGAAACAATCCTGTATAATGAAAAAATGAGGGGACCAAGTATGAAACCCTGTGGAACACCATATGAAATATAATGGATATCTGAAACATGGCTCACCAAGCTTTTCTAGAACATGGTTTACCAGCCCCCGCTAGAGCTTTAGCATGGAGATAGCTTTCCTGTGTAAAGACCTTTTTGTTCTAATCACAGCATGTGGAGGATGGGGGTCCCGCCCAGGAAGCTGGTCTTAGCGCTGGTGACCTCATCACTCACGTAAACGGCGAGTCGGTCCACGGTCTGGTCCATACAGAGGTGGTGGAGCTCATCCTGAAGGTGAGGACGAGCTACCGAACTAACTTAGATATCCATTGCAAGATCTTTATGGGATGGCTCCAATAAAATATGCTTTTATATATATATATGTATATTATCTACAGAGTGGAAACAAGGTGACAGTTACAACTACTCCATTTGAGAACACCTCAATAAAAGTGGGTCCTGCCCGCAAGTCCAGCTATAAATCCAAGATGGCACGGCGCAGCAAGAGGACAGGAGCCAAGGAGGGACCAGAGTGCGTTACTGCAGTATAGATTGCATTACAAGGATTCACTGTCTTTCATGTTTTACATCCCTTTATTCTCATCACCATATGTTTTTTTTTTGTCCTTTCAGGAAGAAGAGAAGCTCCCTCTTCAGGAAAATCACCAAGCAGTCCAACCTGCTCCACACCAGCCGGAGCCTCTCCTCTTTAAACCGCTCTCTGTCATCCGGAGACAGTCTCCCATGCTCCCCCACCCACAGCCTCTCCGCCCGCTCGCCCACTCAGAGTTACCGCTCCACTCTTGCTGAATCCCCTTACATGGGTTAGTATTTAAGGCCGAGAACACGTGCGTGTTTTCGTACCTGGTTTGGCTCTCCGATGGGCCTGAAAACAATCACTTAGGATGGAGAATATATTCTTACAAACTCAAAACATGGGGTGTACTAGTGGCGCTGTGGACACATGTTTTCAAGAGTGGGCCCAAATTTAGTTTGTTGTCAAGTAAATGTGGACGTTAAAGTCCGGTACCACTGCTCAGTGTGGTTGGCTGGGCTTTGTCCCTCCTTTAACCACACCTAACAGTGAGGTCACAGTGTACTAACTCCCCCTGGAGTACACCGTGACATCACTACAACAACTTGAAAAGTTAAAACCACTAGAGGTCAGCGAAAACAAGAATTTCAATGGATCTTATGTGACTCTTCAAAGTCGTCCCATTTTTCTCTCTTGTGTCGTGATCTATTATTTTATTCCCAGAAGATAATGAATATTTTAAAATAATTAAACACATAATCACATTTTACTGCGAACGTTTTTAATTCTCGACAGAAAATAAAAAATAAAATGTTGACCATATTTATTTCCTCCCCTCTACTCAGGCACCTCCTCCCAGAGCAGCTCCCCAGCATCCAGTACGCCCAACTCCCCCGCAGCATCTCACCACATGAGGCCCAGCTCCCTGCACGGCCTGTCTCCCAAACTCCACCGCCAGTACCGCTCCGCCCGCTGCAAATCCGCCGGCAACATCCCGCTGTCCCCGCTGGCTCACACCCCCTCCCCGACCACCTCGTCTCCTCCTCCTCTCTCTGGCCACACGGTGGGGAGCTCCAACACCACGCAGACGTTCCCCGCCAAGCTGCACTCCTCGCCCCCCGTCTCCCGCCCTCGCCCCAAAAGCGCTGAGCCGCCCAGGTCCCCCTTGCTGCAGCGGGTGCAGTCGGCAGAGAAGCTGGGCGCACCGATGCTGCCGTCCTCCTCCTCGTCGTCGTCGTCGCCCTCCCCTCTGACCGGCGGGGTGTCGCTGCGCAAGCACAGCCTGGAGGTGGCGCACGGGGACTACAGGAGAGAGTCCTTCCACTGCGAGCACAGTCTGCAAAGCCTGCTGGAGATGGAGGGAGAGAACGGACCCGCTCCCCCGTCTCCTTCATCCTCCTCCTCCCCCTCTCCTCCCATGGGAGGGGAGATCGGAGGCCTGAAGCCCGCGAGGAGGCTGGGAAGGCAGGAGTCGCCGCTCAGCCGCGACACCCTGCTCCCGCTGAGAGAGAAAGACACGCAGACCGCAGCGTCAGAGCTCGGCGTCTCGCAAACTGAGAGCGTGGCAACCAAAGCCGAGTCCAAGACCAGCGTAGTTCATACAAGTAAAGCCACAGCTGAGGTTCTAAAGAACAACGCAAGTGTAGCGGCAGCGAAGTCAAGTCCAGCGCTGGTTTCATCCACTACGGAGGCCAAGCCGAGCCCAGGGAACAAAGCTCAAAAAGCAGGCACTTCAGGTTGTGAGGCAACAGTCTCCAAGAGTAAACTCGGTGAGAAAATCCCGATTCCCGGCACATTAAAGGGCCTGCAGCAGCAAGAGAGTAAGCAGCAGAGTGTTCAGACAGATGGAGGGCCTGCGACTAAAGCTCAGGAGAAGACTGAGGAGAAAGCCAAAGGCATCGTGGGTGCAGACAAAGGAAACACGCAGAAAGTACCGTCTGCAGAGCAGTCTAAGCCACGAAAAGGCGCAGAATCGGGAGAGAAGGGAGGCATCGACAAAGCGACTGAGACGACCAAGGTCAAAGGACCTGCGCCCCCAATTCCCACCCAGATTCAAACCCACGCCAGATCCAAAACGGAGAAGGCGTCGAACAGTTGCCGCGGTGGGGCCAAGGAGGAGCGGGCACACCTGGAGGTCCTGGAGGAGAACCCCACGTCGCCGTCCTCCAACGCAGCGTCGCCCTGCTCGGGCAAGTCTCGCCCCATGCCGCCGGGGGACAAGGCCAGCTTTGTCACCCAGCTCACGAGCGTGGCCAAGACGGTGCTCGGGCCCATGAAGGGGGGCTCGCAAGAGGGGGCCAAGGCGAGAGACGCCTCCAAGACGAGCGACGAGAAGCGGGGAGGCGCGGCGGGAAAGCCAGACTCCTCGTCCGGGAGCGGTCGCCGCGGCGCTCAGGCGGCAGCCTCGGCCGGCACTGCCGCAGTCCAGTCCGATAAAGGCAACATCCGCGGCTCCAGGCACCACTCGTGATAAGAGAGCGTCGGAAAAGAGTCTGAGTCTCCCATGCAATGCCTTTTTACTGTAGCGTCGCACTGACATATCAACAGGACTTTGAGTGGAGGGGGGACATAACATGCCTGAAGAAGTGACACCAAATAGATGACGTGCGACATGTAGGACACACAAGACGTGAACAAAGATGGTATCGTAATGTAGGCCCGTGTATGTACTGTATGTTCAATGTTTTGTATATAAGGGGGGAGGGGCTGCATATGTATTAATGCATGTCCGACACTGTACATGGAAAAAAAAATGAAAATATTTAAAAAGGAGATGAAAAAAAATATAAAGCCGAACCTCAAGGTGGTGAACACTGTGAACAACTTTTCAGCAGGCCAACTGTTAACTGTGTGTGTGTAAACAAGCAGTTTGTTCTGTTATAAACGGGGCATTAATCACTCATTTCACATCCGCTCCTCCAGTGCCATCCTTCAGTTAAAAGAGCAACACATACTGTACTTCAGTGACTGAACGAGTTCACGCTCCGCGTATAGCGAAGATATAACGGCAGAAGATAAACGGGAGCCTGGACCAAGATATCAGAATACGGTGGATCAGCTGGCGGGCTTCAGATCTGTGTATGGGCTGAATTTAAGTGGAATTGAAAAGAGGGAGATGAGATGAACTTGCACAGGGACACTATGCAATGTGCTGATAATGCCACGTTTTCTTCTTTTTTTTCTGGTGTCCCCCAATTACTTAAGTTTACATTGTGCTCCAGACAAGAACAGAAGACAAAAGAAAGGGATGCAGTAAGCCAAGCAAACACATTTCTTTTGTTGTTGTTTTAAACGTCTCCATCGATCGTAGTGAAATGTGCAATTCTGTATTTTAGGCTATTAAGTGAACACACTGGTTTGTCTGGTATGGAGGCAAAATGCGTAAAGAACTTATAGGAGAGTAGGCCGGATGCTCCTTCCCTCACTCTTTTCTATTTATGCAGTTGTACCGTGTATATTGTGTAATGTTACGTGTGAAGGAAAGTGCCAGTCTTTTTGTTTCGGGATGATGTGATTATTGTTTTTATTTTGTTGTTGTTTACACTTAAATGTATAATAATAATATGCAATCCAACAGTGCCCAGTTTCATGAAACGGAGCACCCTTTGTCAGTGATACGAGTAGTAGACTTTACACAGAAGACAGGAGTAGATAGGTGGAGAGCATCTTAGTGGTGAGGTCGTGTGTGTTCTTGTGTGTTGCAGCTCCTCGTAGTTTTTTGGGACACCGGGCCCAGGCCTGTCTTAGACTGCCACCTTGTGGACCACGTCGCACTACACCGACAGTCCCGAGGTACAGAGAAAGATTAGGGGGTACATGTTGCCTGGGGGGGGGGGGGGTCTTTCCATTTCATACATATAATAAAATATCCGGATGCATAACAATTTAAGATCGAGAGCTTTGCAGGCTGAGCTTAACAAGTCTTTGTTTTTATATCCATTACTAAGATGTCGTGGTCGTCAGACATTAACCCGATGTTTGCAACTGTGTTTTTGTGGTGTGATGTGGGAAAATTGCACTTTATTTTGTGTCGAATATTTCTTTTAATTTACTGATCCTATATATCTATTTGATTATTTTTTCTATTCGTTTTATTTATGAAACTTTTTTTTATCTATTCAAACGTTTTTTTTACACGTCACAATTTCTGCGTTACTACTGAAATTACATATTTATACATTTTACATTTAGACTGAGGAATCTACCAAATCTGCGTGGCTACCGCGTGCGTGCATGTCTGAAGTTGTGATATTCTTGTCAAGTCCATCTTTGTGCCCGTGTTTGATTTCGTGTTTTTTTTGGGTTTTGTTTTACAGCAGCAACTATCTCAGACTGTTGTTGTCCATTACATTGCTACATATTTACTTGCCACCGTTGTGAAAAACCAATGCAAAAAGCCTATAGTGCAGAAATGTAATAAAAAGCAGAGAAACCCCTCGTTCTGTCTGACTTTATTTAAAATATGAACAGTATGAAATGATCATGTTGAAGGATAATCGAGGGCTCGCTGTCATTGGTCCTCTGTTAACCAATCACAGCGGAGCCCACGCATGACCGGTATAAACAGGAAGTTTATAACCTGCTCCTTCTCGAGGACCGATTGGAGACCTTTTTTAACCACCAACGAAACAAAAACAGGAGCATTCTTCAGATAACTCATTCAATGACTTGCTTTAATTAAAGAAGAAGCAGTGACGATGTCCGAATGAAGGTAAGAGATGAATGTCGGGCTTTGAGAATTTTATAAATGGAGTTTTGCTGCGAGTGGACGGACTGTGAAGTTTTTGGGTGCCTGAGAGTTTTTAACTGCTTGTTTTTGCGGGGAGGGGGCTTGAAATGAAGAATTTATATTCAGATGTGCTTTTCATTCGCGAAAAAGAAATTAGGGCGGCATGTTATGTCATTAGTTAATTCATCTCGTGGACTAACGTGTCGCTAACATGTCAAAAAGGACAATTGGCCTCCATTTTGTCATATGTTGTCTAAACCAGCGGTTCCAATGTTTATAAAAAGTTACATTTCACCGTTAAAAGTACCTAAACATGATGTGATTGACAGAGGTGCCTATGATTTATGTTCTACTCGTGTGTAGTATATATACTGTATGACTGTAACATGACTGTGGATTTTATGTTGTGAGATAATAGACACAAGTTACTAAAGAGCTACACTGAACATGAATATTTTACCACACGTATCATTGATTCTCTCATATTCTTTTTGGGTTTTTGATTTATGGGTTAGTTATGACCTGGAAAAGGAATGAAAACTATTTTAACCAGATTTATTTTGGTTGGAAGTACATTCACTCAAGTACTGTACTTAAGCACAATTTTGGCGTACTTTTACTTTGCGTGACTACTTTAATTTTATGCTTATACTTCTACTCCTTTACATTTCAGAGTGAACAATAGTAGACTACTTTTTACTCCACTGCAGTTATTTGATAGCTATAGTTGGGAGATACTTTTCAGATTAAGATTTAAAATGTGTGTGTGTATATATATATATATATATATATATATATATATATA